GATGTAAAATTAAGATGAGAGAAAAATATGGTACAGAAATGAGTGATTTTATTAATATCTTTATTTAGCAATTTTACTTCGAATTTACAAAACTATAGATTGATATTGATGCTCTTCCGGTGCCGTGTTCGTTGGAAGCATAAAAACCAATAGGTAGTTGGTTGAAGTAAAATCCCTTGTAAGAGGAGCTGAAGGTTCCTAGAAACTACTAATTCTATAGAAGTATAATTTCAACGGTATTTATGTTTTCATCACCTGTGGAGCGTACGTTGACGGCTTCAAGTCTCTTGAAAAAGAGAAGACTAAATCACCTCAAATCCTTTTAATTAATTTATTTATTATCAAATTAAGATAAACTCTTAGTTTTTTAAAATCCTAACTTAATTGTTTAAGATTATTTTTTAATAAAAAAATATATCATTTTGTCAATCTTATAATCGGCCATGAAACACGAAATTTTTAAAATCAAAATTAATTAATGTCTTGGAAAAATAATAAGAAAAAACTAAAACTAGTTTATTTACGGTAAGGAAAATTGATATTGAGAAATAAATAAATAAATAAAAAGTTAAGGACGGGGTTTCTTCCATAATATTCAGAGCTTAATTTTCCGAACAAGTTGCAAGCAATCTTGTGTTGGAACAAGTTGATATATTGCAGGGGTTAAATAAAAGCAATCTGTCTCCAAATCTATGAAGTTCAAAAAATCCTTTACTTTCTAAATAAGATGCAAACCCTACACAATTTCTTTTTCCCTTTCTAGGTTCCTTCGAATCCACAGATCCCACATAAACCCACCATGACGTTACTGATTTGATGTGGGCAACCGCAGCTGTCGTGGCGGTGCTTATTTCCCGTCCTTTTCTTTCCTTCCATCTGCTCCTCTTACAGTGACGGTTTTCGATGGGTTTTAACGCTGGTCATGGCGATGTGGCTCTCGTGCTGCATTTTACATATCCTCTTGACCCGCGCATGCAACTACAAGGATCAAGTGAACTGTAGATAAGCAAATCTCCAACGTAAAAATCAAGGGTAAAGTACATTTTGATCCTATAATTTTCGAACAGTTCTACCCAGGTGCTATTGTTTTATATAACAGATGTCAATATCAGCTTTACTTTGTTCAGTTTACTTTGGTGTGCCCACATGTACACTATTAATTACTTTTAAAAAATCAAGTTGATTTTTTTTTATTCCAACAAATACATTCATGTTTTACTGCAAATATAATTTATTTATTTATTTTTCGTACTGCAGCATGATAGATGCATGGGTTTTTCAGCTCAATAATATATCTAAATTGAGTCTGCGAGTCAAAAATAAAATACCTTGCTGGTAAGAAATAATTAATGTAGAGCTCACTTTTCTGTTTTTCTTTTTATATAAAACTTGGTCGCATATCTGTACGTTGTTTTTGGAAGGAAAAAAAAAAGATAAAAAATAATTTGAAGATGGAGAGAGAGGGAGGTTAAACGCAGGATTATATTTGTTTCCTTTGCAGCAAGGTTTCTCCAAAACCCTACCTTTTATTATACTCTTATAAATAAGATAGTTCGTAAGAAATACTGTTCTAAGAAAAAAGAAAAGAAATTAATAAGATAAAAACTAATTAAATAACATTAAAAATAATTTCTTCTTTCTCATCTAAGCTGTGCAACGACATCATCTTCATGGGACTTCCTTTTCCTCTCCAATCCCACAGGCTTCCTTCTTGCCGCACCAGAACAAACACCCCCTTCCATATTGTTTCTGCAAGTTTTTTCCTCCTAGCAAAGCATATCTGCCATGTTTGATAGAGATCAAATTATAAACATCTTTCAAAAAGAAGACAAGAACATACCTCATCAACAAGACGATGCAGTCTAGCGAAGAAGATTGTCATGTGAATTGGGTCAAAGAATCATATATATATATACCATGGCCTTATCAGGGAAAATTAACACGGGTGAGACTGGCGAGAGACAAAAACGCATAAGAGAAAAGGAAGGGTGGCAGATATTGGTTTTTCTCCAGCCTCCCACTGTACCTCTCTTATGCCATTTTTGTCCCCCGCCGATCTCATCCATCAATAGCGCACAATAACTGACACCAAGCATCATGTTCCTGTCTTCTTTCCACCTAACAAAGAACCCCTCCCCTTTTTTATCAGAGGGAGCAAATTATAAACATCTTTAAAAAAGAAAACAAAGAACGTAGCTCATTTCAGTGAATTGCACCATGGCCTTATCAGAGCAAATTAACAATATGGGCGAGACTGGCGAGGGACAAAAATGCATAAGAGAAAAGGAAGGGTAGTCGATATCGATCTTTCTCTTCCCCTTCTCTACCCTTGTACGTCTCTTTTATGCGATTTTTGCCCCTCGCTGATCCCATCCATAAATATGGCACAAGCAGTAGATTCTCCTCCTCGTTGCATGTTGAACTAGGATAATAGACGTTCCTTTAATAGGAAGGAAATTGGTGCCCCATCCGCGATTTTTTTTTAAAAAGGCTGTCAGTTGTGTTTTCCATGAAAGTTCTTCGACATTACTCTCCAGCCCTTTGATGCAATACCAACCAGAGTTGGTGAATTACTTCTTTTTTTTGTTTTTTCCATACGTTGAAAGAAAAGAGTAAGAATTAGGGTTTTAATAATCATTTTCTCCCAGTCTCAGGGCTGAGATGAATTTTCTCGCGAACTAACGGAGACAGACACGGGAGCCACGCGGTTAGAATTTAGACAATGGTATTTTATTGCGTTTTCCCCGGCAACCGTGTGCAATTTTTATTTTTTAATTATATAAAATTGTCACCTTAATAACTAAAAAACTAGAAAACCCCCCAACCTAACGTGTACCCGGTAAAGAAGGCAACATGTTAGTTTTGGTTTTTTTATTGAAAAAAATAAAGTCCACAAGCTATTGATTAATAACAACCCAATGTAGAGTTCATTTTTTACGTACCTTCTCCCCTAGTTATTGTCCAATAAAAAAGAAATGGCAATGTTGTTGATTCAAAATATTCAAACTCAGAAACCACTAGGAAATTGCAGGAATCAAGTGAACTGTAGATATGCGAATCTCGCACGTAAAAATCAAGGGTGAAGCACATTTTGATCCTTCAAAATCTATTGATTAATACCACCTAATATTGTAGAGTTTATTTTTTAAAATTATTTCTATGATTTTTGTCACATATTTGGAGTTTTTGGACGGAAAGATATATAAAAAGAAAGAGTTAGGATAAAGTCGGCGAGAGAGATTATACAAGCAAGTTAATTATAATTAGTTTCATTTCGAGTCCTGTAATATAAATCATATTGAATATCGAAATTGAGCAAGACGGTGCTTGCACAGAAATTTCGCCCAGTGGTTCATAGCGACTAATTACTTTAATTTCTTTTCTTCTGTAGTAGCGGGTGTTTGAGTTATTTTACATCTTGACTAATCTATTAAGATTTTAAAATTAATAATTATATAAGTATTTAGTGATATGAGATTTTAAACATTTAAACTTGATCAGTTTAAATTTTTCATTTTTATTCAAACTTATAGTGAATCAGTCTTTACAATTATTATAAATATAATTCAAGAGGATGTCCTTAATTAACTGATATATATATATATATATAGTTATAATTGATAGTATTTGATAAATTTAAATTTAAAGAGTCCATAAAATCTATTGAATGTCAAAAAAACTCACCACAGGGAACATGCTTCAATAAACTCAACTTAAAGAAAAAGTCTAGCCAGTTTAAGAAAAAAGTTCAATTACGAAAAATTAATCAAATTGTCAGAATTAATAATTTAACTGATTATTTAAGATATAAATCATGTTTTCAAGCTATTTTGATTTTTTAGGATATTATCATTGTTATTACTATCATGTTAACTATTTAAAAAATATTCAATATAAAAAAACTGATAATTTTGACAAAAAAATAGTATTAACAGAAAGAAAAAAAATAAGAGTGTTATCCTAAAAAAATAGCCTGCAAAAGATTTTCCACTATGAGTCATTTTCTAATTGGCTAACATGATATTAATAATCATTAAAAAAAATATTCCAATATCACCACACTAAGAATCCTGATGATAACCTCGTAATTTAATTAGCATTTACATCCTGCTGGTAATTAAAAAAGAGTCATGAAACAGCAATTCAACGCACTCAACAAATTCTTTATAAACTGAGCCTTTGAAAAATGAAACCACAGGGAAATTTCTTATAGACATTGCCGATGTGGGACGTAAAAATCAAATGTAAAGGACTCTTTAGCCCTATAGTTCCCACTACTGAATGTTTCTTGACTGCTTCAAGTCTCTTGAAAAAAACAAGACTAAATGACCTGAAATCCTTTTTATTTTATTTTTTTTATCAAGATAAACTCTTAATTTTTAAATATCTTTGTTTAATAATTACTTTTCAATATTATTATTTTTTTAAGTTTTAATCATTTAATACTTGAAATACATTTCATGTGTGCTCAGACAATGATTTAGAAACACGTCCTTTGTCTTTAGAAAATTTGGGGTGGGGTCAATGGGATCTAAAGCTAATGGTGAGTGTTGCGGGCTGGGCTTCTTGGTCTGGGCTATTTTCGTCAACTACTTTTTTTTGTCTTTCTGTCTTGCAGAGCTGAAATGGAAAGCATAATTCCCTACCCCAAATTCAATAACCCACTCCGATACGTCGACTATTTTTACTGATTTTAACTTAATCAATCAGACCATTTATTGAGTTTTACCAAATTAATATTTTATTCGACTTAATTAAGAATCTAAACGAAACCAGCTCTAAATCCTGTATTTTCCAGACCAGCCGCCGAACAGGCCGAGTATAACAACTCAGGCTTCCTCAGATTCGGTGGGCACACGTAGGCTCTTGTTTACTTTCCAGTTTACATAGAGCAAATTGGAAGCTCTAGCATGCTAGTCCACAATCACCAACCAATACAAGAGCGTAAACACCATGTTTGCCCTTTTTGCTCGGGGGCGAAAAAAAAAAAAACTATTAAATCACAGGAACTGCACCGCTGCAGTGTTGTTTGCCAGAATCAATTCTCTTTTTTCTTGCACATGCGACGTAAACCGACAAAAAAACAAAAAAGAAATATTGTTTTCACAGAAAAAAAAAATTGTCCTTTGCATCTTTCCCGTTTGTCCCACAAGAATAACAAACACTCCCCTACTGTTCTTAGATTATTTTGACTTCAAAGAAAGAATATCCGAGTTCCTGACCACAAAGAAGAAAATTTCATTAATATAAACATATCCCCTTTGATACAGAGCAGCAAATCATAGAAATATTTGCATGCTTTCAATTGGACAAGCTTGTTGCAAATGTTTATAAAAATCCTTGCAAATTAAGAACACGTACAGGACCCTACCTGTTAACCAAAAAATAAAAGAATATAACGATGATGATGATATATTTATAGCATACCTGATTAACTAGTGATGATCTATGAAGGATGGAACTCAGCTTCAATACTAAGATGACAGGGCTGCAGGGAAATAAACCTTGCCCTTCAAGAGTTCTAATAAATTGTCTGATGAAAGGAACATGGTGGAGCAACTCAAGAAAGAGCCTGGTATGCACCTCAAGTGCAATTCTTCAATATTCAATGGCTTATATTAACTTAAAAACAAAATGATGGGGAAGATTAGCGAGGGAAAAAAGAGCATATATAAGAGAGGAACAGAGGGAAGTAAGAGGAAAGTTTGAGGAAATAAGAGAAGAGGCTGCCAAACTAAAAGAGGAAACTAATCTATCTCCCAACAAAGTGCAGCAAACCAACTTCGGCTTGATCTTATACTTTAAGATCTAGACGATGTTGCTTGGCAGCATTTTGCAGGGAGATAGATTAGTTTCCTCTTTTAGTTTTGCTCGACTCTTCTCTTATTTCCTCAAACTTTCGCTTCTTGCCTCCTTTTGGCCCTCCCTTATGCCTTCTTGTCCCCTGCTAATCGTAACCCAAAAGCAAAAAAAAGACAGCGACAACTGCGTCAGGAAGAACAATGTTTGATTGTAACCAAATCAATATGCAAGCCATTAATCATGGAATGACACCCATATATATATAAGTTGCTCAATGAATGCTTATGAGTTTCCTGATTTTGGGGCATTCCTATCAGACCACGTCGGACCACATGCACGCACTGTTTTTTGAAGAAAATGCTCGTCGTCTTCTCCTAAGAAAAAAACGGCCTCTTCTTTCTCAGTGATGTAAGAGGAGGATCAGCATGACCGCATGTCGACGCGCTTCTTTACAAGTTAACCGACTTTTTGGCCGCCACGTGAACGGACTTCAATTTTTTTTTTTGGTCATCTTTATGCAATTTGCAAACCAACGATTGAAAACGAGGTTAAATGTATTGACTTCTTCCAAGGAAAAAAAAAAACCATTTAAAACGAGGAAAATTTGAAAGATTCATTGATCCTTTCTCTGTAGCTTGACGAAGTTGAGTTGTAAAGTTCATGCACCTGTAAATAAAAATACATGTTGTTAAGAATGAATGTTGAAATTTTATTTTAATTAAATAAATTATAGGTGAATAAAAAATTAATCTAAAACAAATCTTGTTTTTTATTAAAAGAATCTTTTATTTTTTAAATTTAATTATTAATTTATAATAATTAGTTAAAGGTTAATAATGATAAAAATTAATTTTTTAATTTTTTAAATTTCATTATAAAAAAAGAGGTGAATGAATAGTTTCTAATTTAAATTTTTTTTTCACTTTACACTCTATATCTCATCTTATTTTTATTATTTTTCTTCAACTTTTTATTATTTGATCTTTTTTTTAAATCTAGAGTTTAAATTTATCTTATTGAGATATATTTGAAATATTTGATTTAAATACCTTAATTAGAATTATATCTAAACCAAGATGATGATGTTGTTAGAATTTTGAGAAACATATTAAAAATATTTTAGTTACACAAATAATGAGCAATCAAGATTTAAGAGCAAATAATTCATCATCGAGAAGAAAATATTCATTATTTTATAGTGCTTTAACAAGTAAATACCTTTCTTGTTTTAATTTAAATATAGTTAATTTTATTATTAATATATATACTAGAATTCTTTATTTTATATCAATTACAAGTTTAAATATATGTTTAGTATGCATGCTAGTATTTTATAATTATTTTTGTATTTAAAACATGTTTGTCATTCATTATATTTTTACATGCTTATAATTTTAAATATGTATAAACTCTGGATTTTTGTTAAATATTTTTTATTTACCATGTATTTTGTGATAATAAACTAACTATATTTTCCCACTAGTCTAACATGTATATATTTATAAACTTTGATTTACAATAATATATAAAATAAAATAAAGTGATTGTTTTGTATTTATTTAATTGTTAAGAAACAAGACAAAATAAATTATTAAAAAATATTATATATATATATATATATATATTATCATCAAACCTGCAGTGTTATGAACAATAAATAGAGATCATTGCTTTTTCTTTGATTTAGAATGAATTTTAATTTTTTAACCAATTTATAATGATAATTTCTTCACTAATTAAAATCATATTAAAATGTCATAAAAATATAATATTTTTTAAAATAGAAATATAATTAAATTATGATTTATAAATTATATATTAATCATTTTTTCAATCTTATTTAATAATTAAATCAATAAAAAAATAAAATATTTGCACCAGTACAAAGTTAAAACCTAGTGTAGATGGAAAAACGAGATAATAATTTCATCACAAATATTTCTTTTTTATTATGATTTGAAAATTTTTTTTTTAAATAAAATATATGCATCCATTAGCGCTACAAAACATATTTAAAATTAGTAAAAAAACTTGAAATTATAAATTTTTAAAGGAACATTTGTGAGAAGAAAAATTAACTTAGTTCTATCTCCATTTTCTTTAATTAATTTTTTTAATTTTATTATTCAATTAAAAAAATATTTGCTCTTTAATTTATTTTGTATTTCCATGTTGAACCTCATTTTTTATTTTTGTTTTGGATCTTGTTTGTATAGTTTTTTTTTCAATTTCATCTTTTAACATTTAATTGGTTTAATTTCACCCTTTAATAAAAAAAAATTAGTTATCCTCTAATTTTTTTTATTTCAATATTAACCTCATTTTTTAATTATTATTTGTTGTTTGGATCCTTTTGTATAGTTTTTTTGTAATTTTATTATTTAATATTTAATTAGTTAAAAATTGAGTTTCATTATTTTTTCAAGTAGAATATTTCTTATCTAATAACAAGGGTTATAAATTTAAAACATTAATTTGAGTTAACATTATTTTTTAAAACTTATTTTCCTTTTTAATTTCTAATTTCATAATCATTTAACTTTAATTTTTATTATTATTGGCTTGGCTTTACATTTTTATGAGGTTGCTTCTTAAAAAAAAATAAAACAAATTTTAATTTTTTTTCTAACATTATTTTTTATAAAAAAATAATAACCACCCGATCCCATGGCGTAGGGACGTCTAGTTATATACCAAGTCTGATGTTGCTAGCTATAGAAGAATCGGCCCTCATCTCTTCTAAGACCCTCCAGAAATGGAACTGAGAGATAAGTAGACTATAATATTAATGCCATCATTACATATATTATTACAATATGTAAGGGTATATACAATAGAATGGGAATTTAACAAAAGATTATACATGAAAAACGAGGTTCATAACTAACTAGGCAAATGCCTCCAAGGTAATTCCATGAAGCATGGTCTTATATTGTGTCATCTAGGCCATCGATGACATCCAAAATATTAGTTTTTTTATGCTCTAATTTTTGTCTAGCAGCAACTGGTGAGTTTCCAGTGCTCCTGCTCAATGTCCAGACTTGTCCTCTTTTCTTGTCTCCAAGAAATTCCTGACTTTTGCTTCTTCCTGGAACCGATCTCCTCTGACACACATTGGCTAACAAATCTCGATCTTCTTGAGAAAGTTGAGCGCCGTGGTTCAGGAATTGAAGTCGTGGCGTCAAGGTGTGAAAAACCGGTCCCTTACGGGATGGAGATCTAACATGCATGGATTTGAAACCAAGATCTCTCTGTCTCACTAAGTTTATCAACCGGTGAAGCCATGTCACTAGTTCAAGAATGTATAGGTCAGTCTTCTGCTTATCTGCGTGATGGAGTGTCTGGAGGCGGATCAGGTTGCTATTTCCGGCTGTATTCTTGCCAAATTCGTTTCTGTCAAAAAGAAAAAAGGCGTCACTCATCTGTTACTAAAGTGCATTACACTTGTCACAACACAAAGACAGCACAAAGGCCTTCACTAACCCAGTGTTTGCCCATTCTCCAACCCATCCAAAGCCTTGGTGTGCTCTGTTGCCAATTCAAACATAAACAAAGTAAGTGTAATAGCAAAGACAGTAAAGAAAATTCTCAAGGAGAAAAAAGATAAAGAAAAAGACAGGTCAAGCGTAAAAACCACTGCCACATGAAAACATCATCTTGTTGAAACATGTTTGCAGGGAACATGAGGAAATATCAAATTAGATTGTCATTTAACCTACTTGGTTGTGTTTGTGGCAATAGGCGCAAGCCAATGGAGAGTCTTTTCCATTTCAGCTTTCACCAGAGCTATCGTGAGCTGTAGAGAAACATAGTGGAAAGCAATTATGTATTGAGTAGGTGCATAAGCAAAAAAGTAAGAACAAACACCCATCCTCAATCTCCATTTGGAGAAAAAGTAGAAAATGAGAAGCACAAAAATGAGCACAAATACCTCTTCCTTGGCATCAACCATCTGCAACCGTGAGCGTAGAGCTGCCTTAACACTGTTTGGTATCCCTCGATATAAACTGTCCCTCGTATTAGGAGGAAGGGAGGCAGGTCGAGAAGTCTAATAACATGTGATAGGTCAGTCTAATTCATCCCAATATAGGAAAACTAAGTGACCTATAATAACCATGTGATTAGTGAAGAAGGAAAGAGATTCACTTACAATATTATCAATCTGGTTGATTAAGTTAGCATAATGCAATGCAAGACCAGATGTGCCAAGTCTTTGACGACTGTTGCCAGGCTCCTTGTCAACCAATATAACACCTGCCATGAGTTGTCAATCCCTACAGATTAATATTTGAAGCACATCTTTCAAAGCCAGAAACATAGAATTAAATCTTAAATCTTGTTATGATGTGCATAGATAGCAAGGAGAGGGAAATAAACAAAAACAGACTCTATATTGGCATGTTTCTTATATGCCGGCCTTGACCAAATCACCGCAGTCAGGATTATAATGTTCTTTCCCAAGCAAAATTCACTATAATGCTTGAATCTTCCTAAATTAAAGATGCACTTCAGATTAGAATCTTGTTAATACATGGAATTAATGGTCCTTTTTAAGATAGCTCATGCCTGCTAATCATGGTTTTACCCAACCAGAAGGATGTAAGTGCATACACATTTATCGAGAATGAACTTACATGGACAGATCAATTCAATGCAGCTGAGCATAAATTCAGTATGTCCATCAGTTTGCCTACATGAATCCTCTTGATTCCAGCCTTTCATATATATACTAGCCTGTTTGTGTACTTTAGAAATAGAGGAATGACCTAGCTAGAGCTGAGACAGGATCTTCGGACATGGCAATCACCTCTTTTATTATCCAGGCACTATAAACGGTCTTTCATTTCTAATAAAGATAATTTCTCAGACACAATAGAAATACACACATTTCAAGGAGAGCAGTTTCAGAAAATAGACTCCCCACATGAAACCCGTTCCTTCACTAATTATCTACCATATATCATACACAAATGAAAAACAGGGTGGTTCGCATCTAGGAAAACAAAAGGAACTCATCAATGTGTCTTGCTGATA